TGTACAGTAATAGGTTGTAGTAACAAAGCTACCGTTATTGGTTAATGCTATCTTGAGTTACCTCTAAAAAAAGAACACAAGATTCCGCTTAGAAATAAAGAAAAAGCTGCAGATTGTTCAAAATAAAACAATAATTCAGTTCAGATATTATTCAAATTCAGCACTTAAAATTCAAAAATCAACATCAACCCAATGCAATCTGCAGACTTGCATAACAGCAGGTAGCAAGCAATTGGAACAAAGCAATTGTACAGCAGCAGTAAACACCAATGTCTCAACAAAAACCAGACCCATACATGCCCAGTGGTACACACCCAGAAGCACACAAGGTTCAGAGCAAGAACAACCGTAGAATTAATCAACACATTAAATAATCAACAAGGTTCAGAGCAAGAACAACCGTAGAAGTGCACAAGTTTGTTCAAACCCCATTTCAAGGTCAACACAAACAACTCTTCAACAGACCAAATGACACTCCATAGAATTAATCAAAGAACAAGCATGAAGAAGTACAAAAAATGTTCACTGTCCCGAGATGAACAGTGAATTCGTAAATGAACAAAACACTCTGAAATTCAGAGATGTAGCCTTCAAAATTGCTTGGACCAACACAAATTAACCAGAGAGGATCGGAAATGAACAAAATCTGCCATGCGTTGACCTTCGAATCTTTAAAATCAAGCTCCAAAAACAGCGTAATTACCTCTTATACGGAATCCCCTACTGTAGGCGAAACCAGAGTTCCAAAAATCTGGAGCAACAAGCTCGGATTGACGGATTAATTGGCAAGAACAACCCTCGCGGTACTGTTCATGTCGCGAACGAGAAACCCCCCATTGAGAGATCTTTCTTTGAGAGCTCATTACTACCTTTTCTCTATGGCCATAGATGTAGTGGACAAGAGCTCCATCGTCACCACGGCGGCGGATCTTGAGAGCAGGGAGGAGATTGACACTCTAGGAGGATTTGAGGGTGTAAATGACTGTAGAAAACAAAGAGATAAGAAAAGAGAGAGAGGAATGTATTTGGACAGTTTCTCTCGGCAAGGAGTCTACTTTTTTAGTGGGAATCCAATTTTTTTACTTTAAATTTTTGGGCGCACTTTTTCCCACTTAAATAAAATTTCATCCCCGACAATATTTTTTTGAAGGGACTTCAATTTTTTGAGGGGAATCCAATTGTTTTGAAATTTGTTCATTTCGTTCACAACAAAAATTTTATAAAATATATTCTTAAAAAAAAGTTTTACCAAATTTTATACTTCCTCCATTCCAAAAAAATTGTCACAATTTGACTTTTTTAGTCAAATTGTGCAACACTTTGACTATAATTTATGGAAAAAGTATATTTAATTATACTATAAAGTTATTAAGCTTATGTTTTTAATTTGAATTGTAGTTTTGATATATTAAATTTTACAACATATAATTATTTAAAATTATATTTAATTTGAGCTCAAAGTGTGTCATGGTTTGACCAAAAAAGTCGCCCCCGACTTAATGTATTTCAAAAAAACACAGACAGATAAGATTATACCAAATCACATAACTGCATCTCAGTTTAACATGTTTATATGTTGTTTAGATGATATCTAATCATATCATATCTCATCCAATAAGATTAAATCAAATCAAATTAAAAGAGTTTTAAATATAACTACAATTAGATCAAGCAGATTAGATCTATTCCAATTAGATCAGTCAAGTTATGTTTATATGTTGTTTAGATGATATCTAATGAAATCAGATCTCATCATATCAGATTAGACTAGATCAAATAATTGCATAGATCAGATTCTTTTAATACTCATATTTTTGGCCGTATAAGATCTTACTGGTACTGATAACAGAACAAGGTAATTGCACAAATCCAATTCTTCGACATACTCATACTTTTGAATAGAGATAATTTCCGGCCTAGTGCCCCCAATTTCGCATCTATCCCGTCCCCTTCAGAATATTTTTCTCCCATAGAGATAATTTCCGTCATCTTCTTCAAAATCACAGCCATAAGCCGGAGTTTCTCTCTAGGGCGTAAGATCGCTAGACAGTAACTCAGATTACTGTTCATTTCCTTCTTCCCTTTGATTCTTCCATTAATTGAGCTCTTCTTGGCGTGATTTTTGGAGCCCTTGGTTCGTATGATGTGTGTGCAACTACATATGAATCCAATTTGGGAATTATTTGAGCTGGTATGTGGCGATTTGGAGGTCAACGACAATAGTGATACTGTTCATCTACGAATTGAAATTCGAAGATTTCTCTTGTCTCGAGCAGAATTGAAGGACATCCTCTTAGGATTCTGAGAGAAATTGTTTGCTAATCCAAGGTATGAACATGGATTTCAATTCCACTTGATTCATCCTGCGATTTGAAGAATTTGGGGAAACAATGTTCTGGTTGGTTTTTGGAGGAGTCCATAATGCTGTTATTGAAACTATAATTGAGCAAAGTTGCTTTGAATGTACGGTTGGTGGTTCCACAACTGATTCATGTGATGTTCATGAATGTGTTAACTATATTTTTAGAGCTTGTTCTTGGGAATACATTATTTTTGAACCTTGTATTTTTGATACCTTTGGTGTATTTGTACTGGCCATGTATCTTTTGAACCATAAGTTGTAGCTGTGCTGGTCCTCACCTGCTGCACGAACATGGGTGCTGAAACCAGAGAATCTTGATGAATTTGAGGTTCTTTTGGTTTTTGATGGTTTCATTTTGGTCAGGTGTACCTTGGGAAGTATGGGGCTGGAAATGCTGCTACCATGGACTGTTGAAGCTGAGTTTGGAATCAGCTGCTCTTTCCCACTGGATGCTACTGTGGTGCTACTGTTTTTGGGCTGATAGAGTGGATTAAACTGTGGTTTTGGGCTGTGCATTGTTGCTGGAACTGCTGCCTGGGTATACCGGCTTGGTAAACGTTCCACTCCTCCCTAAACCTCTTGGACACTCACTTTTGTCATAATTTACTTCATTTGCATGAGGTAGGGGCTAAATTGAACTCTTGACATGTGTGGTCTGTTTGGATATTGACGGCTGGATGGGAACTAGTAACCATGTGCCTTATGTGCCTTGGACAGGGAGTATATGTACTTGGCTTGAGACGCCACCAACATATGCTCCCTCCATGCTCTCGTTTTGACCTAATATACTGCTGCCTGGTGATGCGGGGTACTGGAAGCTGACACTGGAGCCAGGACGTGGATTACCACTTTGTTATGTTTGACCATTTTGATACTTGTCTTGTACTTGTTTTGATATTTTATTTGTACGGGGGTTTCTTGGACCACTTATTGGCACTTCTTGCTGAGTACATTTTAGGGAGAGGAAATGGAGTGTGGTTTGGGCAGTGTTTGGGCTCTTCCTTTAGCTTTTGGTCAGGGGTGCCACTAGTTTTTGGAGGCTGTTTGGCCACTGCCGGGACTACTCTGGACAGATTGCCGGATCATGTGTGGCTCTTTGGCATTGATTGGCTGGTACTTGAAGGTGGTCTACTAGATGGTACTTTGAGGTGCACTTGAGAGTCAAATACCTTAGATGAGAGGTCATGGACTGTGTTTTGGGGAAATGATTGGACTGGAAGCTGAAACTGAACTATGGGGCACTGGTTTGCTGCTGGTTTGCACCAATTTGCTGCTGGTGTTGCTGCTGTACTTGGCCGAAAGCACTGCTAGGAACACTGCCAGGAAGATGCTAGTTTTGGGTTTCCTACCTATCCACTTGCGGTGTCTGAACTCAAACCGAGGGCAGCAATGAATGAAGGCTTTCAGGACAATGTGACAACTTCTAGCACTCGGGCCTTGGCCCTTTGGCATGCCAGCGGATAACCTTAATATTTATATATAGTGCTGCTTGTTTTGTCCCTCTTTCTTTAGCCATGCACCGAACAAATTCAGAAAGCATCTTTAGAAAACAAGTCTAAGATGTCAACTCGAAGAACAAGACCCCCTCTAGTGCAAGGCCTTGTTTCAGACAGCAATGGATTTCGCCATCTTCTTTTTGTTTTTTTTGCTTTTATGAGTGAGGTTGATTGATTGTATGGGTTCCCAATACCCTTTGTGTGTAGCGGGACACTACACAGCCTGTACATGTACTTTTTATTTTCTTTCAATAAAAGTGTTTATTTTTTAAAATGATAATTGTTTTAAACAGCGGATATTTGATTGTTGTCTAAAGTTTCGCCCAAAGTTACGAAAGTAACGTTAGATAGCATACACATATTCATTGTAGTGATGGTTATCGTTTATTTGAACTTTAAAAAAGTTTGAGACTTAATAGCTAAACTACTGTTTAAAAAGAGTATTCTTAACTTATTATAAAAAAACTCTAGCAAAACAATCATATGACACAGACAATTAGTAATAGATTACTATTTCTCATAATTTTAAAAACAATTCTACGCTTACTATCCACACTACTATTTAAAAGAGTTTTCTTAACTTATTCTAAACAACTGTGAAAAAAAACCCGTGTGACACAGACTACTAGTAATACATTACCGTTTCTCATAACTTTAAAAATAGTTCTAGGCTTTATAGCCTGACTATTGTTTAAAATTAGTATTCTTAATTTATTATAGACAACTGTGGTAACAAAAACCGT